TTGGGACTTGCCTGGCAGTCCACTGGTTAAGGGAACTTCCTGCAGGAGGCTTGGGTTCAATCTCTGCCTTCTGCCCATACTTGTGGAGCAGCCAAAAAAAAAAAAAAGAAAAGAAACCATGGCTGGATTTGTGAAATGACTGAGAGAACCTCTGTTTTCAGAGCATTCATTACAAAAAGAAATGCCATGTGAGTGGGGAGTGGGTTGATTTTTTTTTTAATTTTTTTTTTTTGTGTGTGGGTTGATTTGTAAATCAAACCTTCTTGACTATCCTCCAATGCGCCTGTACATAACTCCACCAAGGAAATCTGGCCATACTGTTATGAAGAGACACATCTTGTAAATAAGCAAAAGCAACAGGTGTTACACATTTGTTCTTTACCAATCTTTAGACTCTATCTTTAGTGAAGCTAGAGTCTATAACCTATTGTAGAAAATTGGCTGGAAAGTCATGTCTATACAGTTAAAATTCCAAGTCCACAATAGCACACACACATACACACAAAAAATCCTCAAGAGTTTAGGACTCATTCTAGCTTATTTCATAATTTTGCCATCGACTGTAGTCATGAAATTGAAGTAAGTTTCCAGAGTGTAGTCATGAAATTGAAGTGAGTTTGAAGAGTGTAGTCATGAAGTTGAAATAAGTTTGCAGAGGTCTTTTGCAATTCTGGCAACATTTCTGCCCTTCTTACATTTGACGGAAACCTCTTGACATTGTTAATTACAAGCATCATCTTTAACCTAGGAATTCAAGTAAGAAATTTCAAAATCATCTTGAATTCATTCTTCATCCCTCATATCAAATCTCTATCAAAGTCTATAAAGTCTACTTTCGAGACATTTTTTGAATGCATACCAACTTCCCCATCCTCCCAACAGCTGCTTTAGTTCACATCCTCACCATTTTGATTCTGGAAAAGTGTGATAGGCTTCAGTAATCTCCTCTCTTCCAGTCCTTTTCTCCGAAGCTCCATCACCCTACTGCCCAAGACTTCTATTTCTAAAGCAAAGACCTGGCTTTTGTGCTTTGCCATCTGAGGGTCTCCTAGTGCTTTCCACGCCTACTCCTCAGGGAGGCAGGCGCTCAGGGCTGTGTTACAGCTGGGCTTCAGCTCATCTGACCAGGCTCCATGTCCTGCTACTTCCTTCCAACACACTCTATTCCATCAAACTATTTCCAGTTCCCAAAATGTTCTGGGCTTTCAAACATGCTGGAACGTTCTTCCAAGTCTTTCTCCACCTACTCTGCCCTCCACATGTATTTCACGCTCGACGTCCTCTCTGAAGTCTGCAAGTTCCATCCTGGAGCTCATTACCTTGCGATCCACCAGCACTCGGGACCCAGCCCCAATTCAGCTGGGGCTACACTCCTTTGTGGTATTCTGTCTCCTCTCTGTACTGAATACCTTGAAGAAAATAGATTGCATCTGATATCTGCATTTTGTTTCAACTTGGCATTTAATAGATCCTCATTTGATAAGTTTGTAGGATGAATATAGTCTAAGGCAATACATGTGGGCTAAAACTAAACAAATGAAAGGTTGAAATCAAGTAATAAATATATCCATATAGAGATTTAACAATTACAGCAATATATGGATAAAGTGAACAGTTACAGAGAAGTAAAGAAAAAACCACTAAAAAGAAGGCTTAGTGAACATAATTTCACTTATAAACCAGTGAGATTTTATAATTTCAGTGAGACAAAAAGAATACTTTAAACTTGTCTTCTTCTTTAACTGAAAACATACTCCTTGGTTCTTAATATTTATATTTCTTAAAGCTGATCAACTCTATCACATTTTTTCAAAGTTCTGTGATTTCTCCGGTCACTTCAAAACTAGTGCCAACTTCTCAGGGGATCTCCAGGCCTAGGTTACACTTCAGCAGGTTTAAGCAACTCTCTCCACCCTCAACAACTGTTTCTTTTATTGACTCACTTCTCTGAACGACAGTTGTCGCCATCAACTTTCTAGATACTATTCTCAATTTGACTGTCATAACCAATCTGGATTTTGTCAGGTTTTAATTCTCTAGCTCTGCTTGAAACAGGTATTTATGTATCAGTGACCCAATGTCACTTCAAATTTTAAATAAATATATTAATGTTTGGGGGGACTTTCCAGGTGATACAGTGGTGAAGAATCCACCTGTCAATGCAGGAGATGCAAGAAATGCGGGTTGGATCCCTGGTTGGGGAAGATCCCCTGGAGCAGGAAATGGGAACCCACCCCAGTATTCTTGTCAGGAGAGTTCCACAGACAGGAGAGCTTGGGGGACTACATCCATAGGGTCGCCAAGAGTCAGACATGACTAGCAACTGAGCACATGATGGTTTTGCCTAATCTATCAACTTTTCTTGATGTTTCCATTTGGAAGCCTCTACCAACTTTCTAATCAACTACTCTCGCATTTCAAGATCATCTTTGACTTCTCCCAGAGAGAGATCAGAGAAGCTTTGGGCCTCCCGAGGCTTGCGTGGATAAGGCAGGCCTGGTGTTCCCCTTTGCTCTTTTTTTTAGTATCACTGTCGCATCTGCCATCTTTGTATCATTCCAAACGCAGTGTGCGGCTTCCTCACCTGGCTATCTCACTCACGGCCTGCAGAGTCACGCCCGTGGGCCCCTGGCCTCTCGGCCCTCCTCCTGGGTCTCCCCTGGGCAGGGACTCTCTGCTCTCATCTCAGGTTTCACTCCAGCTTGGATTCTCCATCTTACCAGGCAGATGACGCCGGCCCCGCCTCTACGCCTCCACGGATGCCTTTCCTTCTGACTGGAATGTCCTCTGCTCTGTTCTGCTAAGCCTCCTTATTCTCCGCCGCTTTAACATATACTCCTCAACGAGGCCCACTCCGAATATTTTTTTTTCCAGCATCCTCTTCAAAAGGTCTATATTAGCATCTTGCTAGCTCTATTTAGTTTCTACTCCTGCTAATTTTTCATTCTTCGCTTGAATTTGTACTTATGATCCCAACTGGCCATACAACCATGGTTTCTATCTCCTCATCTTCTCCTGCCTTTAAGGCGTCCATTCTGTGTACCCCTCAGGCCTTTCTGTCTGCTGGGGAAATAAATGAACTAAAATTGCAGCAGGAAAAATTAAACTGGAGGACCTGAAAGTAGATGGGAATTTTCCATTTCTGAAGACTACCAGGGGCTTCCATGTGTCTTAGGTGGTTTGCTTCGATGATGGTGATTCAGGCACAGAGATATTGTCCCAACTGTGAGAGTCATCACACTGGGTTTTCTGTCCCCTTTGGTTCTTTTTCTGACCTTTTCTCACCAGGTTCAGGCTCTCTCCCGGCTCCATGGTCCACCTTCTCCCTCCTTTCTCAGGAGACCCCGCTTAGATTCCTGGCCACTTTTCACAAAAGCACCTACCTGTTAACTTTCTCCATTTTCTATCCCCCCAGGGAGAGAATGAACTTTCCACCCCTGAGGATCACTGCCCTCTTTCCCACTCAGAAGAGAGATATTCCCGAGGAAGGGACTTTTAGGGATGTTTCGTAGCATCTGGGGACCTAAACATCTCCCTTCCGGCTCTGCATGCACCTATCAAAGATCTCTACTTAGGTCCAACCGTTTTCTCCCTACGGACCAGAAGGAGATGCTGAAAGACTCACTCAGTTAAGAGGTTATTTAAATCCCTTAAAGAACGACAGCGGCGCTCGTTTGGGGCAGAAGAAGCAATTTTGGTCGGCCCCTGTTGTTTTTTGTAAGGATGGATGGGAAGGGGGCTGATGAAGAGGGTCTATCTCCATTATTGGGCAGATTTAAAATCCTTTCCCGCCTACGAACCACCCTCCCATCTGGTGGCTCCGCAGCCTTCTCCTTCAGGCCAAAGAGGGAACCAGGTAGTCTTGGGATGGGGGTGGCGGGGGAAGGTGGGTGTGAGCGGGGATGGAGGCACCGCAATGTTTTCCTTTAAGCTCCCAGTTCCCAGCCTCAGAGGACTCGCCGGTGCAATCCCGGGATGGCGCCCTTAACACTCCAGGCATCTGCAGGATGCGGGGTCTCCCGCAGCCCGCTGTCCCCTGCGGCTGGGTTCCGGAACCCGGCTCCTTGCATCCTCCGGCGGTCCGCGTCTCGGTGCCTCCGGGGCTGCCGCATCCCGGGCCCGTCCCCCCGCCGGTCGGCCCAGCGACTCTCCTTGGCCGTAACCCTCTCGGGGCAGCTTTCGCTTCCAAGCCGCGCGCTCCGGATGAGCTGGGCTGCCCGCGGCCGCGGCCGGCTGGGTTCCGAGCCAACAAACTTCTCTCCGACTCCGCAGCGCGCGGGCGGCCAGCCGGAGCCGCGCGCTGCGGGGCCATCGAGGCGCCGGGCCGGCGCTCCGGGACGAGCGGGCCGGGGAGCCCAGCCCCGGGACCCCCCGGCGAAGCCGCAGCCCTGAGAGCCGCGCTCGGAGAAGCAGCCGCAGGGCAGGACCGGTAACCGCGCGGGGAGCCGGCGCCGCAGCCCCGCGCCCCCCAGTGTACGCCCCTTCACTGTCTCCTCGCTTTCTGGGCGGGGGACGTCTCTAGACAGAGATTAAAAAAATAAGCTCTAACGGCACGGGTTTCTTTTGAGTGGATTTGTTTTCTGCGTTTCACCCCGGATTTTTTTTTTTTTTTTTCCTTCTGTATTCGGTGTCCTGACTGCATCAGCAGGGCTCTCAGCTCGGCTCCACAGACACACAGATCCGGCAGAAGCACCTAGAACTAAGTGTAAAGCCCGCAGCCTGCAGGGCGGGCACACACGAACACGACCCACCAGCATCTACGCCGCGCGCTCGGGCGGCCCCGTCGTGCCCACAGGGCGGCCTCCCGGGCTACAGCTACCTACGGGAATGCGAAATGGCAGGTGTGCGCTCCGCACGCACCCAGACCCGAGCGGGGCCCCGCGTCCAGATTCTCCGGGGAAACTGGTGCAGGCAGGCGGAGACGCAGAACCGCGAGCGAGGCCGGGGAGCGTGCGCACGGGGGAGCTGGCGGGCGCGGGGTCGCGGCGCCGCGCACTTACCTTGGCCGCGTGCGGGGCTCGCCGGCCGGCGGGCGGGCGGGCGCGCGGCTGAGCACCGCGGCACGGAGCGCCCTGCGAGTGGGGCCGGGGCGCGCGCCGCTGCCCTTATTAGTCTCTCCCCGGGTGACCCTCCCACTCGGCGAGGACGAGGACTCCGCAAGACGGGACTCCGCCAACTCGGGCCCGGGTTTTCCTTAATTACAGCTACGTCGCCCCAGAGCCTTGCAGGTTTCCGCTTCATCCGCTGTTTCCCATCACGTAGAAACGGCTGGTTACAAAGGCTTCGAGTTTCTCACTTTGTGATGGTGAAGTGTGTGGTATGTGGCGGACATTCGAAGGTAGATTACTGGTTTTTTAACACGTGGGCTGTGGAGGGACATCATTTCTGTTTCATTTTGTGCTGTTATATCAGTTTAGATAAAGTTAATCAGTGTTCCGATCATGCTTGGATGTACAGAGTTGTGTGGTTTTGTCTCAGACTCCACAGAAGTATTTTGTGATTTTAAATATTGTATCTTTCTATGGATTGGCGCTACAAATCCTGGACTCTTTGGGGCCCCTTATAACATGTGATGGTGACATTTTTTAGCATATTCTGTGTCCGGGCATGTATGTAGAGTATATATATTGTAGGTATACATATGTATTGTATATACATATATGTGTATTTGAAAGAAAAGTTAAACCACTATAGAATTCAGATAAGTCAGGCACTAGAAAACAGATAAATTGGTTTAATGTTCAGTATTGCCATAGTTGACAAAATAAATTGTAGTATTGATCCATAATCGTGAAAATCGTTAAAGTTAAAAGTTATTTTAAAACTATAGCAATAGGCTTTGTAAATGTCTGGTTCACAGGTCAGGAAATAAAATCAGGCTGGGGAAAAAAAAATAAATGTTAAAAAAAATTTTAGAAGATAGCTTTTTTTGCATTTAATTGAAGTGCAACTATGAAGAGTCAGCTAGTAGTTTTTAAACCTGTCTCTCATCCTGATCAAAACCCATGCTGCAAGTTTTAGTCTGGCACCCCTAATGATGCAAACCATGTTTATATGCCAGAACTTGAAAGCTCCTGATGTTTTGCTTTCCTGTGATTTTCATCACTGGCTTCTGGTTCACTGTGGAAAGAGGCCAAGGAAGGAGGCTGTTGAATGAGTCACACTACTCAGATGGCCATCTGAAAACGCAGGATTCCCAGACCTGCCTCAGACTTGTGGTGACCTGTCTGTAAGTTTTTAAATAGTATTACCCTTTTTTGACTTTTTTCCCCCTCTCAAAGCAATTGTCCTTTACCTTTTAATTGAAATAAAAGCATCCAGGTTTTATTTCTCCCATGGACTATTAACTTTACATTTACATTTAATTAGTACTATTTTTAAAATAAGGCTTTAAGACTACTTAACAGGAAGCTTGAAATTTTGCCTCTGATTTGTTCTTTAATACAAATAAATCATCCTCATGTTAGCATTATTTTCATAAATATTTTAATAATTGTATAACCTTTAAGAGGTTTTAAACCTAGCCAAACTTAGATTTTTGTTTCTATCTTGAATTTCTCATTTTCCTACTCAAAGTATTGAACTGAGTTTGGAAGAAAGTGAAAAATAAATACAATTAAAAACGATTATCTGTTGCTTTCTTTGTCGCTAGATATGCCAGTATCCCCAGGTCAATAAATCCTCCTGGGTTATTTTTTCAGGCAAGTATTTGACTCTGGGCTGCATTTTGTGATCACAAACTATCATATCCCTAGGTCTATGTCCTTTATCCAATTCTTTTCACTGAATTTTAAAGTGACTTCAAGTCAAAAGATCCCTTAACCAGGCACCTTTTATTTATCTAACCCCAATATAGTTATAAACGATCGGTTTTCCCATTTGCTTCTGAAGATACTGCTGGTAAAGGAACATCTGAAAATAATAGGAGAATCTGACAGCACTTTGCATTCCGGCAAACAGCTTGTGGGGCTTCTAACACCCAGTTTAGCTGTATGCATGTGTGACAAAAATTTTTTAAAGATTTCAAAAACAAACTGTTTTCAACAGTTGTGGCCCATGGGAGACACTTTTAACCAGTATTTTTATGCCTTAAGAGGGCTAAATTCATTTGAAATGCATTTTTAAAAAAAGTTCCATATTTTTAATTCCCCGCCTACATAAATTAAACAATTCAAATTAATACTGAACTACATTTTGATGATTGCCCCATAATAAATGTAAAGATTGTGTGTTTTCTAAGCCTTGCTTATCAGTCACTTCTATTTTCTCATGGCTATTTCTTTTTCCTTTTTTTCGTTTCTGTGTACTTCTATACTCCCAACCATGTTGCTTTGCTTTTTCCCTTTTGTAATTTCTTTCACTTTCCTCCCCTTTCATGGTTTCCATTTTCCAAGAAGAATTTCAGTTTTGCCCCCAGCTAACTTCTTAGTTCCCACACCATAAACGTGCTCATTTTCTGTTGAATGGAGTGCCCCAACCATACATGACTCCCCTACCGACCCCATGGAATTCTTCAATGCGTCCGTAGAGGAGGGACAGACGTCACTGTCAGCTGTAATTACCAACTCTGACTTGTCACCAAGAGTCTGTACTTCCCTTTCTATTCCTTTTAAAGCCAGTACTATGTATGATATTCCTATCATACAAATAAGGGTGAAAAGAAAATTGTTGGATTAGTTCAAAATTTTTAGTAACCAGCAAAAGATAGGGCATTTAAAATTTTTTCATTGCTATTTTTATCATTGTTTCAGAAAATGTCCTCATAGAGAAAATAATATTCCACTGGTGGTTGCTATGTTTGCTTCCGCTCCTGGAAGATGTTTAGCTCCTGACATTGACTCAGCTTAGAAATGAGAGGAAGAGGTGATCACAGGTCTGACTTTCACTTAGTTTATTAGACCCTCTTCCTAGGGATCGGTGACGCTGAAAGGAAATATGTTAAAAGACAAATGCCTGACTGGGGAAAATGTTTATTAATACACACCCGGCTCCCAAAACTATTTTTTTTTTAAAGAGAGAGAGAGAGATCCTGATAAAAAATAGGCAAAAAAGAAAATTATGACAAGACAACTCACAGAGGAAATACAAATGGTCAGTGAACACATGAAAAATTATTCAACTAAATTACTATGCAAAAGAAATGCACATCGATAAAGGAGTGATTTTTGCTCCCCTCGTTTTGACAGGATTAATATTCTCAACACCAAAAGAAGGGACACAATATAGTTGCCCTTTCAAAAGGGCAAATTAGCCACGTGTATTAAATGCTTTAAAAAATGTACATCGACTCTGCCTCACAAACTCCTCTGAAACAGTAGCTGTGGTTACCTCTCAGTTAGGACTGTGGGAGATTCTGATTTCTTCCTTTTGCTTATCTGTAATTTTCTACAGTGAACCTGTATTACTGTTGTAATAAAAAATACAACAAGCATGAACGAAATGGTGTTTTATGTATCGCCGACAAATTAACAAAGCAATGGGGTTAAGAGAACTGAGAAATTTTCTTACACTTAGCGTAATGATTTGACTAGGAAGCAAATATTAATTAAACTGTTTATTCATTCAACATGTATTTTTGAACCCCTCTTAAGCTAAGCACTGTAGGATATACAAAGATAGGTTGGGCATGAGCCCCACCTCCTGGGTTCGAACATTGGGTAAGAAAGGGAAAATGTATATGTACATAATGACAATATGAAATAAAAATAGAGCATGTAATAAGCAAAGTAGGTCTAAAATATCCACTCCAGTGTTCTTGCCTGGAGAATCCCAGGGACGGCAGAGCCTGGTGGGCTGCCGTCTATGGGGTTGCACAGAGTCGGACACAACTGACGCGACTTAGCAGCAGTAGAAGATCTAAAATATGGGGGAGTTTAAAGGAAGGGGAAACTATATTCAAATGTGGAAGCATCAGAGTCAAAAGATTTCAGTGAACAAAATACAGTTGACTCTTGAACAACGGGCTTTTTAACTGCATGGGTCTACTTACACGTGGATTCTTTTCACCGCATACATACTACAGTACTGCAGAAGCCCATAGTTGGTTGAATTTGTGGTCGCAGAACCAGAGATTTGGAGGACTGATTGCAGAGTTATATGCAGATTCTCCACAGAATGGAGGTTCAGCGCCCCTAACCCACCCCCCCGACACACCCACACACGAGGGTCAACTGTACATCCATTTTTTGTCCTTCACAATAAATAGACTCATGAGTCATCCCAGCATCCTAGTGCTGGAAGGGGCGCTGTCAGTAAATAATTGTATGTGAAAGGATGAGTTAACTATTTCTGTAATAAAGATTTGTAAAAGAACCAACAAGGAGCAAGCTCATTTCTCTCCTTTTCAGATGAAGGACGTGAATTGCCTTGTTTCCCACTGAGCTATCCCTGAAATTCAAGACTCTCCACAGTGTAACCTCCATCTTCTTACCTCAGTTCCCTTAAATGCACACGATGCCCCAACCAGATCAATGACCTGTGACCAGAGAATGAATAGCCAATGTTTTCTCCGTCTCTAGTTGCTGCAGCCTACCGAAACGCCAGGTGGCTGTTGGAATCCTGCTTATTTGAGGTTCTATAATATAGTTCCTTCCCTAACCTCTTCCCACCAAACAGACCCTCCCCTGCCCCCATACAGCAGAGTATAATTTGCACTTTTTAAGACACCCTGGCTTCCTAGGTGGCGCAGTGGTGCAGAATCTGCCTGCCAATGCAGGAGACTCAAGAGATGTGGGATGGATCCCTGGGTTGGAAAGATCTCCTGGAGGAGGAAATGGCAACCTACTCTGGTATTCTTGCCTGAGAAATCCCATGAACAGAGAAACCTGGTGGGCTACAGGCTCGCAGAGGGTCGGAGATAACTGAGCAACTGAACACAAACATGCACACACAGTTACTCTACTTGACACTTCATTTCACAAACTTTTCTGTGTTTGGTCCTGACTTGATTGTAAATTCCTTGAGAGCTGGAACTGTGTCTTCTTTTTACTAATACCCACAGCATTTAATACAATAGATATTTG